GTTTTCAAAGTTTTATAGCTTATGAATACTAAAGCGTGATTGTGCGGTTGAGATATAAGATGCCCTTTTTACTTTTGAGCAAAAAGGGCTGATCTTTTATACTTGTTTTTAATTTAGTCAGTAGTCGTTCAATAGTTCTGAGCTCGTCATCCAGGTACTGGGTAGTAGTGTTTCAGTTTTAACCGGTCAGGGTTCAAGGGATCTGTAGTCAGGGCTTGAAGGGTCTTTAGTCGGTTTCCCTTTTGTCACGCCTGCCCAGTTGGGTTTGAGAAACTGAGTTTCTTGACCAGTTTGGAATTAGTTCTGGGAACTGTTGATCGGTTGATTCAGACTTCTTTGTATGATGTGTTCACTTGATATGTGATCATGTGAATCATCATTAAGGGTCGTATTCTTTTGTATCGGTGTTTCACTCTTGAAACTTGAGTGTGAGTTGTGATCTCTTGAAGCTATGCAGATAGGTTTTGAGAGTAGTTTTTTTTTTGATCAAATGTATATATGTATGTTTTCTATAGGGGTTTTTGGATAGTTGTATTTACTATGTCTTCCTAGAGAGTGTTTATTCTGCTCTCTAGGTTGACAGTGTTGGGTTTGCCATCAGGTCTAACGCTGCCTGGCTATCACTAAAGATTGTGAGTGACTTATATTGTTCAGGTTGGTCGGTGATTAACGTCCTGTATTTTAATATACCTAATATTAGTGCCATAGTTTTGGTTTCATAGTTTGAAATACCAATAAGGGGCCCATAAGCCTGTGTCGTTATTGTGTCTTCCATCGCTGCCGCTGCTCCTGCACCCGTTCCTGGTATGTAAGATCCGTCTGTGAATAAAATGCAGGCTCCATTAGTTTTTTATTCTTTGATCTGTTTTGGTGTTCTTTTCTTTACTATATCTCTTTTTTCTCCTTTATTCTCAACCATCCACAGAGGGTCCAGTTAAGGATATATCATTTCTAATGTTGTATTAATAGGGAGTATCATGTCAGCTTTTTGTAGCATTCTGTTTGCAGGGCTTAAGAGGTTATGTGGTGTTTGGATTAGTTCTTTTTCCAATATTCTTCTTGTTGGGTGGTTCTTTGGGGCTGTCAGCCTCTTGTAGGCAAAGTTGTGGTTATATTGGATTGCTGAGTCTTTAAATGAAATCATGTTAGCATCATGGGTCATGATTTCCATTGGTGAGCTTTTGAATGCCCCCAGTGCCAATCGGTTTGCCGTGTTTTGTAATAAGTTGAATATTTTTGTTACTTTACCTTCTGTTTTGGTGTTGAACCACACTATGCATCCAAACAGTATCCATGGTTTGAGCACTGTTATGATCAGTGTCGGTTTCTTTGGGGTTTGTGCCCCAGTAGCAACAATTGATCCTGTTAATTTGGGCAAGCATCATCTTTTCTTGTTGATGCATCCTTTTTATGTGAGGTCCAAAACTCAACTTGGGGTCCAACCACAGTCCAAACCAGCGGAATTACCACATCTTGAGGCGTCAAAACCTGGTTTCCAAACAGAATACTAGGGTTAGTATGTTTCTTGTGGGTGAAATGCATGACTTGTGCCTTTTTCTGATCAAATATGGCTCCATGTTGTTTTCCCCATCTGAGTGCCCTCTCGCCCTCTTCTTCCAAGTCCATAACATTGAGGTTGATGTCCTTGTTTGCTACTAAATGTGTTATGTCGTCGATAAATCCTAGTGAAATTTTATCCAATTTGACGTCTACTTCTAAATCAATGAGGAGTGATGAGTTGTAAATGATGTAGAGTATGACAGAGAGGGGTGACCCTTGAGGCAATCCATCTTCTACCTCAAATGCTTCGGATAGAAAATCTTGTAATCTTAAAGTTGTGGTTCTATCATCTTATAAGTATTCTAAATTAACTAAGATTGAACCGGTTACTTGGCTGATTTGTCTGGTTTGCTTAACCATTGGATTGAGTGAATCATCTCAGCTGGGATTGGGTTTTGTTCAGTTAACATTTGTTTGATATTTTCAGTCTCTGGGTAAGTTTCCGTGGGTATTGAGTCAATGACAACTGGAAAAACTGCGGGGGAAGTTCTCAAGTCAGGGTCAGCTAAGGTTGACCACTCGATCCTATGTTCTAATAACCAGTCAGCTTCCAAACGTGTTGCTGTAAACAATTTAATACTTCCTGACGGTAAACTTGCCGCGCCTTTAACTTCCAGCCTACGTCCTGCAATTGATACATCAAGTTGAACTAGAGCCTGATTTACGCATCGCACGATTTTGGTTGATTTCACACCTTCAAAGGGCTTCTTTGCTTCAGTTTCATCCTTGTTAACATTGATAGGTCTTATGATAACCTGACTGGGTCGGAAAGCGTTGACAATCCTGCTTGACGGCGGCGGTTGTGGGGCTTGATTTGATGTAACTTTCAAGCTGTTCTTCACGGCTGTTGTCCATGACATTGGTTTTGCTGGGAGCCTGCTTGGTGTGGTTTGCTGTACCGGGTTGAGTGCTTGGCCTTTACTCAGCGCTTGGATCTGTTGTTCTAATCTTTCCAAACGTTTAGTTGAGTCATTGGTCAGCTTCAGTTGGGCTTCCATCATGTTTAATTTGAGCTTTGTTTCCTCCATAGCCAAGCTAAATGCCATCATTATTCCTACCAGTCGCGCCGGTACCACAACATCGCCATTCTCGAGTGCGTTCTTTGACAATTCCTTCCAGATCGTGGAAAAGGACTGGGTCTCAAGTTGTTGCATAGGCGGTGGTATTGGTTCAGGTCTCGAGTCCATAGTCTCCTGGCTCCCTGGATTCATCGTCACGTCGTTACGTGTGTTTGACACGTTCAAATGTGGTCCTAACGGTTGCTATCGATTTATGTGGATGATAGGCGGCGGGTCAGGTGGCATAGGGAGATTCTGAGAGCAATTAAAGAAGTTATAAGGGTGTTGATTTGGTGGTGGTGGTGGTATGAGGGTAAGACGAAAGGAGTTGGAACGCGATTACGCAGTCACTGCGGAAAAGTTGACTGTAGTGGTTCGAGTTCAGAATTCTCGTATTTACAAGTTGACAAAGTTGTATTACTTTTGCTAAAATGCTTGGCCCAATCGAGAAAAAATAAAAATAAAATTCACCACAGCAGTCACAATGCAGCAGAGAGAAAAAAGTTTTAAAGGGTGCTGTCTCTTCAGCTGTGGTGCGAGTCGTCACCTCCCTCCCATTCCGCTGCTCTATCACCCACCTCTATATAGTCTCTAGTTCACCATCACCTTGCCACCTCTTTCTTTGCACACTCTTGCAAGATGGGCTTGTGAAACTATTGAAACTATTGGTAAGCCACTCTACGTGTTACGTTATAAATGCCTCTTATTCATTTCCTCTTGGTGTGCTTTCTAACAACCTTTTCATATGGTTTGATTCAGATGACCATCCTCACATCAACACAGTCCAATATCGGTGATCGGCTTGCCTGGCTTTTCCTCACCATCACCTCATCAGCTCTTCTTTCCCACACTCTTGCAGCTCAACCAGGAAAGCAGTCATCTGATATGTGAAACTTCTCTCTACACTGTTCCTCATATATTGATAACGAGTATTTGTTAAGAATTGAAAAAAGAAACGATATTGAAGCTTTTATGGAGCTCATAACTGCTATGCTAATCTGAGAAAAAGGGCAAGTTGAATAAGATGTATCTTACATATCTTCAACTTGTCCAGTGCCGAGCTCTTCTGAATAACAAAAGTATGAGATTGAATATCTTATGAAAGATATTCAAAATGTGAGTGAGTTTTCAAGGTAAGTGAGATTTTCAGAATAATCGATTGGTTATGAACAATCTCAAAACCAATCAGTTTCCGGTTGATCCTGCTATGAGATCATCCTATGATTGCAAGTTTAACACAATCTCAGATCTCTTATGAGGGCAATAAAAGTTAAACTAAGAACTTATCGGGTTTGAACAAGTCATCCAAACCCATTCAATTTGTCTTTGGTCCTATGAACGAGATGAAAAATGATATCAGTTTTCTCAAAGACATTCAAAATCCAAAGATCAACTGGTTTTGCTCGGTCAAAACCAATTGATCTTCCTTTGTTCCTGTGGAAGAGATTGGAAACAATCTCGGCTCTCTGATGTAATCTAGAGACTGATTTTTTTAACAAGATCAAAATCAATTGATTTGCTTGTGATTCTATGAAGAAGATTGAAACGATCTCGATTTTCACATCAATCTTATCTAGAATTTCTTGATTCTGGTTCCTGTACAATGACATCTGCTCTAACTACAATTCATCTACTATGAACAATCTAGCTTTGTAATTCAGATGTAAAGGTCTTATGAGCTGCCTTCTGGATCGGTTCAACTGGATTTGACCTAGATGATGAAACTTGTGATCTCCGGACATCAAACTTCAACGCATACTTCAAACTCGATCGGGTTCAACTCGGGACAGTGTGGTGGTAGGTATTGGAGGAGGATACCTAAAGATGATATTAGGGATTATCAGTAAGATGAACGAGATGCATTGAAGAGAGAAATGGGAGGAAATGAAGCAATCAAGTGTATCTTTTTGCTTACAGATATCAGCAATCAAGTATCCACAATGGATAGATGCGTTAGTTGAGTTGAGTGAGCAAAATGAAGTCATCGACAGGGATTTGAAGGATATGAAAAATTATTGGTGGCAGCGGGGTAATCAAAAGGATGGAACAGATGGGAGCTTGAGCGCACCCTACTTTTTTCTCTCTGCTGCGTTGTGACTGCTGCGGTGAATTTTGTTTTTATTTTTTCTCGATTGGGCCAAGCATTTTAGCAAAAGTAATATGATGATGCGGCATGCTTGGTGGCACTGGCAGGGGGAGAAATGAAATGGCCGTCAGGGCTCTGCTCCGCTCGAGAGTCCGAGCTGCGACCCGGGATCGGAGCTTTTTCCGCCAACGTATTTGACACTTGTCTCTTGTGGTGGTTTGAGGAGTTTGTCCAATGCAATCCACTTGATCCAATCTGAATTTGTTGTCTATTCACACTCAGCTCATTCATCCACCATGCACAAAGTTATCCCGGAGCCATGGTCAAATCCTTCCGCCAATCTGATGGACCGTTTGAGTGAAGAGATATTACTTGAGGTCTTATCTTATCTCAACTTACATGAGCTTTCGATTATGGCAAGAGTCTCGAATCGATTGAACAGACTATCAGAGGACCCAAAGGTCTGTCGCATTACCCTCTCATTTGATCCTCTTCACCTTGAACGGATCCAAATTTCTATAAGCGAAATCGAAAATCGTCCTTCCAAACAACTCTCGAGAGTATATTGACCAAAAGAGACAACACACTATCACCACAGCTTTGGAAAACGATGTTTCACCTCCGATGGGGGGAGCGTGGATTGAAGTACCCCTTCCTCCCTGCAATCGAACAACGAAACCGATCAACTTTGCGTTCAATCAGTCCATTTGGAGCGATTCCCGACAGGAAAGGAAAAGGTCGACAACAGGCTGCAACAGAACAAACTCATCTCGGACACACATGGAAGAACCTTTGTCGAATCAGTCTTAACTGGCAAACTGGCTCAGCTCATTCCACTACCAGACTTGTTTCCGCACCTCAAGACTCCGCGCCTAAGACACGCTACCCTAGTACAATCGCTCGATTTCATCGCACACTTCTTTTCACAGCTTCAAGAACTAAATCATGTAGTAGGCAGCCAACTGTAGATGTATATCAACTTAAGAAGGGGCAAAAACAAGATGGAGTCAAGTCTGTGCCTATAGGTCATATTGCGTCTGCGCTTGATTTTTCAAACTTGGGTATGGTGGGGATCTCTGAGATCAGAGTTGATGAAAGGTGTGATACCGAATCAGGAATGGAGCAATTACCCTTCTCAAATCAAAACTCAGTCATTCTTGTCGTCTTCTATACCACTGGTCAATTTGCTATCTTTCAAATTGCTCTACCCTCAAGCTCAGAATCAGAACCCGAACTGGATGTTACAGAACTATATGCTTCATCTGAAGTTTTGATACGTTCTGGTCCAGATGGGATTTATCATCAAGCCGCGGAGGTAGCACGCCTACACTATCCACTGCTAGTCACTTGCTCGACCGACTTTCTTTTACGTTTCTATGAGTTGAACTCTGATGGGCACAACGCACTCGCCGCACGCAAACTCAAATTAGATATGCGTAGTCAAACTTGTTTTTGGCCGCTGAATCTCAACCTTACTGCTCTCGAAACAGGATTCCGATTAACAATCGTATATCCTACACCATTTTATCCATCAGCTTGGACAGTTGGATTACAAGAATTCGAATTTGAACTTTCTCCTACACCCAAACTTCTCAACACTCGTCATACTACTGCATTACCCTTTGAGAGTACCAAGTTATCTCGTCATTCTTTTCGTCAAATGACAGGAGTGGGTCCAGTAAGCGGAATCGAATATGCAGAACCAACAGTAGTGGTTGCAAGAACCGACAATACGCTTGATACTTTTGAGTATCGTCGTCGATCATGTGATCCACCTGAACTTCTTCATCGTCGAACACTTTTTGGCCATACAAGTCGGGTTGCAGCTGTTGCTCTCAATTCATCTGGGCGATGTGTGAGTGCTGGACAGGATGGATTAAACGTTTGGGAATTGGCAGAAGGGCAGATGTGTGGGCCTGTTCAGGTTGGACTAACTCAGAGTGATTCTGAAGAGACTAACAAGGTGGTTGAGTGGGTTGGTTTTGATACTGAAAAGATTGTAGGTGTGCTGAGAACCGGGACGTGTGGTGCAGGAGAAGGAGGGGCTGGACAAGCTGTTTCAGATGAAGTAAGAGTGCTGAGTTTTGCTTGATTGTGATTCGTCTTGAATGTCAGTAAGCAAATGATGAACCTATTTCGATGCAATGTAGTGGTTTACTTTGTGATGTAAATTATTTTATTCGTATCTTTTTTCAATCAGCAATCAATAGATTGTAACTCCTTTCTCTATATACCTGTTGTAGTTCTACACACACTTTTTCTCTTTTAAAGTCTTTGATGTGTTTAAAATTTGTTGTACCGAGATACATATTACAAGTGGCGTAAGTTTCCACTTTCAGCATATCAACATTTCCTTTAGCAGTTTCCAGAGCCATTTTGAGCCCGGAAGTAGTGGGTGAAATATTCTCAGTGATGATTGACTGTCCAGTATCACTGGTGTATGCCCATAATTTCCAGGCTCTCCTTGAGCAGGTTGATCAACTTGACCTTGCAAAAAATAGTACCTCAATCGATTAAATGATACCATTCTTTAATCTCTTTTCTGGATCTCCCTAAAGCGCTGAGCAGGTAAACTCCGAATACAGCAGGTGATGCATTTTTGGCAAGAAGAAATTAATTTCCCTAGGCAAGAATAGAGCAATACCACAATTGGTCTGTAACGCATCTAAGTTTTTTGAGTTACAAAAAACATATTTTGAGTTACAAAAGACGCATTTTGAGTGACGAGTGTGTTTTTTGAGTTAAACCATACTTGTCACTCAAACTATGTCTTTCATAACTCCAAAACATACTTGTCACTTGAGAAACATAGTCGCCACTCAAAACATGTTTTTTGTAACTTGAAAAACATAGTCGTAACTCCAAAGATATTTTTTGTGAGCTGAAACACATGGTTGTAACTCCAAAAATGTTTTTTGCAACCCAAAAAACATCATAATTGGAAGTAGGCGCTGATTTAGGCACCACAACAGTCATATTTGAGAATGTGGGTGCTAAAAATATTGCGCTTATAAAGGGTTGTAAAGTAAATTCCAACCTTTTGTTGACAAGGTTTTTGGGTACTCAATGACACATTTACAGCACCTACAGTAGTGCAAAATGTGCGTGAAATTGAAGGCTTGCATTTAAACTAGCTCTCAACCTAATAGCACCTATACTTCACAAGATAATTGGATGTAACAGTCAAAAACAGTGTTAAAATCAAATGTTGGAATCAGGCCTTGGAGCCACAAAAAATTGTACCAATTTATTTTGCGCCAAAGTGAGAAAAGTTGAGAGCCTTGTAGTAGGCTCATTTGATAGCCCTGGCCATGCACATCTTTTGAAGTGCCTGGACCTTTTGAAAAGGAGTGGTGTGTTGTGTGGAGCCCAAAAACTGAAAAACAGGTTTCATTACAACCCTTTATATATGCATTCCTGGGTCCTGCCTACATTGATTTTCCAAAAGAAAATGATGTAGGTGCCAAAAAAATGGCACCTACATCTATTCCAGGCAATTTAGACAACAAAACCAGTGCCTACCTGGGTGTAGGGTGTGGGTGGCATCTAGCAATGACCTTTGAGTTTAGTTAAAATGCAATTTTCAGATTGCTTTTCCTTTTTTTCATTTTTGTATGTACTGTGAGAGGCTGCACCCAACATGCCAGGATGTGTCTTTTTTACAGGCCACACCCCCATCCTGACACAAGTATGACTGAAAAATTCTCTTTGGTTCACAGTTCAGCTGGCTTTGTTTTTTTTAAAATTCTAGGGTTTCAATCTTAGCACATAACTGATTCCTTCTTAACCACAAAAACTTCAAAACCTTTGACTTAAAATTACAATTCAAACTTAACTAAGTACCAAACCATTCCAGGGTTTTTACATTGCAAACTTAAGTTAAGACAATCCCTCTTGGACAAAGAAGTAGTCAAGAGAGAGACTTATGCCATATACATGAAATTTGGCATGGGAGCCGGAGAGGTTTGGCTGAGAACTTTTTGACTTGACCTCATTCTACCTGAATAGTCCAGATCTTATCATGATATTGTACCATAAGGCAACCATCTAGTTGCTGTCATTTTCTGACTTGATGCTTTTGAGTCTGATGTTCTTTTGATGGCCATCAAAGGTTCTTGCTAACTCGTAGTAAGCAAAACTATTCCTCAGGTACTCTGGCATTAGCTTGAAACACATCACCCAGTCCCCATAAGTTGATTTCAACCCAACCGGATAATTCAAGCCTTCAAACTTCTCATCATCTGAGCCGTCATCCTCTTTTGTCTCCTTCTTGGTACTGTTCTTGTTCTGTACCTCTCTATTGGCTTCTAACCACATTCTGGTAAACATGGATATTAGAAAATAGCCTTTGATCTTCTGAATTCTGTTTTCCCAGAAGACTGTTAGCTTGTGAAGGTGGTGACTTGGAACTTGTCCCAAAGCAAATTCAATTCTGCTTTCCGTCACTACTCTTCTGCTTCTAGGACCTGCTACTCCATTAGTGTTTTTGTCTTTGTCTTCAGTTAAAGGACATCCCTTGAAAATTTGTCTTGCTGTTTGATTTACAGGCTCTGGGTTTCTTTTTGAATCTTTTTACTTGTTTGTGTGCATAGAAGAAGTGCATGACTCATTATCAAATAGATTCATTGGATTTAAAAGATATTGGTGAAGGCTTTGAGATTGATGAGTAGAACAGTTGCAAACTGTTTGGAGAAAACCACTCAGAAAGATCATGATATCTTTGGTTGATACAATCACATCAAGAAAGTGGTGAGGCCAGACCAGATTACTTCACACCTTCAATTAAAAAAAAAACTACAGAAAACAAAAAACAATCATATGCAATCACCAATCACTGTTCTAAAAAAGATTATTTGGATCAAGCTGATTTTTTTCCAGAATGGTACAGCATAGAGATGTTTTTTTTGAGTGTTCAGAAAAATCAATTTCTGTGAGCAGCACAAGTTTGTAAGGCTCAATATACCTACTCTTAGTTTACCAAAGTTTTGAGATTTTGAATCCAATCAACCATAGCTGCTATGAGTGAAGTATTACAAAACATAAAAACCCAAGTTTTTTTTGTGTGTTTTATGATTGATAAATCACTCAAAGATCTCCTACAACATCAATGTACTGGATCAGATCCTCTTACTGAAGTTATAAACAACACCTAGAAGGAAGTATGTCTCATCTAGTAGTAGAACTCATTGAAGATTTTATTTTACTAGAACCTATTGATTTGAAGGATATATATGGGACCCAAGTCTTAAGCTTTATAAGATGTGATTCATACATAATTAACTTGAACTTGAATTTCAGTCAAGAATTCAAAGGTGTCTTAAGTTAACTTCATGTGATCATAAACTTTTCTCTACATTGTGAAATCCATAACCTATCATATGATAAAGTTTTGGTATTGAGATGCAAGGTAAGGCTCATTACCAATTCATGAGCAATTTGTCTTGCATGCAAACATCAGCAGGAAAAAAGAGGGACTTGTGAATTACACACACACACATACACATACATACAGAGTCCAAAATTGATGGTCACATACAGGTGAACATTGAACACTTTCCTGAATTCTCCAACAAATTAGATTGTTTTTCTTTCCAGATTGCTTCAATTGACAATTTTGGGCAGTACTAGTGATCAGGTGGATCAAAGCTGTTTTGCTCAAAGTTTTGCTTTACTTTGCTGGAGAATGCTTGTTTCCATCTTGGATGAGCATTCTTTGATCAGCTCAGTGTCTCAGATAAGTACTCAGGATCGGTTCATGTATCACTACATACTCATAACAGCTCAGAACCTTTTCCAAGATCCCAGATCAGCAGGCTCCAAGGCATATGTATCACTGAAGGTAAGCTAAAGGGCTAAGACAAAGTGAGTAGATGGGCCAGCCCTGCCTCAGGGGATTTTTTTGCTAAGGAATGAAGCCTGAGGAAGACCTCCTTGATCTGCTCAGGTCATATTGATCATGTGATGATCAGCTCATAAGCCAGAAGAAAACAGAAAGAAAAGGGAAAGAGTTTGGAAGTCAAATTGAACCAACATTAAGTAAGAAAAAAAAACAAGAAAATTTTAATGCTCACCCAGGGCCCAATGTGAGCATCTATTTTTGAGCGGATTCAAAGAGCCAAGGGGTTGGTGTGATACCTTGAATCCAGTTCCAAGACTTACAAATACCATTAATGGGTAAAAGAGATGAAAGATTTACTTGAGTTTCAACATATTTAGTTAAATTATACATTCTCCATAAAGTTAAAAGTGATTCATCAAATATCTGTTCTGTATTGGATTTTAGAAAAAAAAATCAGATTCAGCATGTTGTTATTCATGATCAGCATACTTTTTTCTTGCTCTAGTTTGAATAAAACATAAAGTATGATGGTTTTGAGAAACATACATGGTTTTTTCTTCTTTTAGAATTGTAGAAGATTGGATTTGAAAGATGTACATACTACTACAGCAGCACTCTAGAGTTCAACTTTTCTTTTAATTTCTTTTACATGGGTTTTTCTAATGTTTTCCTTAGATGTTTTGAGGGTTTAAATGAAAGATCAAAATCAAGAGCCTACATGGACTTTTTTTTTTTTAGATCTTGAATCTTTGATACTCATGAAATCACACAATCAAATCATAATGTGTGATTGTAGTATGTACTGATCAATTTACAACATAGATCAAAGCCAAGAAGATTTATTTTTTGGTGTTAGAGACTATAGGAGTTTCAACATCTTCATCACACTCGAGGTTCGAATCATGTATGTATGTATTAGGACCCTGGAAAGCCCCTATATACCCGCCTAATTGGGTATGTAGGAATTGGCCTTTTTGGGTAAAAATGGTCCTTATGTTCTGTGTAGGAATTCTAAAAATTTGAAAAAAAAAGTCACACAGGAGCCTTATTTTGTATGTAGGAATATGTCAAAAAGTGTGGAAAAAAAAATTAGGTTTCTTACACATTAGGTAGGAAAGAGGGTTCTCAGGGCCACCAGGCTACCCACTTCCATACATAAGGTGAGTAGCAATGATCATCGAGTCACAATGAAACCCGATGTTATTGTGTATAGATACCAATCATGATAGTATTGAGTTCGAAGCTCAGGTAAGACAATTTTTTGCACATTTTTATGTAAAAGGGTGTGGAAAAATGTCATATTATGACAGTTGATGGTCATTGAAATCGAGATGTCTGACAGTCTGGCATGGGTCAGCAAGAAGGTTGTTTCAACCAGTTTCAACCGAGTCCAAACATTTGAAATGGCCTGAAAGTTGCTGAAACAGCTTGATTCTGCTCGATCACAACATTTTTTTTGTTTGATCTTGATAGTTTTCGTTGATATTAGACACAATTACTATATCTCGCGTAGCAAAAGGAAAAGGTAATGAACGAAAGAAAAAAAACAACCACCAGGATCCTGTGGCTTCTGATCACGCCAATGCAAATGGAGCCACCAAATTGGACCCTCGGACATGTAGTAAATTGGTAGCCATCATGCTGAAAAACTCTGAGCAGATGGACAAGGCTCTGGATCGCTTACATCGATGGAACATTCATGTAAAGCTTGACCTCAATTGGATTGCAAAAAATACATCAACAACTCTCAACATCGCAACACAAACACTTTATACAAGTGGCAATGTATCAGAAGACAATCCACTTGAAGTAAACAAGTTTGTTGTGGTTATAAAAAACAATGTATGTCATCCCCTGTTTCAAATATGAAGCTGCCGACTCTGATCATTTAATGTACTCTTGATTCGTTTTAGATGCTTTTTTTGGGTAAGATCTGTGCTCTCTACATTTACCAGAATGGTAAGCACGAGTGGATCACCAAATCGTCCACTCGATCTAAGCTCTCATATGCATCTACCCAGCTTTACATGTATAAAGGGAATCCTGGAGCGTGTAGTTTTGAAGAAAACTTTCCAAATCGTCTCATATTCTCGCATCTTGATATAGCAGATATGCACTATGTGTTTCCCCCCACCTCATCAATGAATATTACTGAACCCAAGGCTAACACCATATGGATTCCTCAAGCTTATCGTGCTATGTTAAAGGCTATGAGCCAGAAACAGTACATCAAGGCAATTCTCGAACAACTTGCTGTTGAACACGCTAAAGCTAGAAAAAAATAAGCTATACTTGAATTGTAATATCTAACTTGGTTTTTATTTCTCTCCACCTTATCTAGAGATTTGATTTTGTGTTATTTCTTCAAGTTGTTTCGCTTCATCTCTCCCAAATTCAAAAAAATACCAGTCTCTTTAGTCCCTTTTCTGAAACGTTTGACTGCTCTTTTTCTACTTCTTGATATTGAATTCTCAGACCCTGATCTCCCTCATGTGTAGAGATTCACTTTGATGTTTTTACCTGTTACAGCAGTGGACCGACTGCAGTGGCTGGCCAGGAACTGGAAACACAGTCCCTCCAGTGGCTGGCCAGGAATTGAATTACTCGTTTTTTTTAAAACTCAACTACATAACACTACATAGCTATACTACTCACTAGTCTATTTCTCTCTCAACAACTTCAACTCTTGTGATTCTTCTACCAAATTCCCAAAAAAATATGCAAGTTTTTCCGGAAAAAAAATCAAGATGTCTAATTGCTCTGAAACGCCCTAAAACACAGATTTTGAGGGTCCTTATGCAGATGGAAGGAATATTGGGACCTTTCTCCAAAAAAGAAAATGGTCCTTTGTCAACAGGTAGGAATCCGAGTTTTTTTTGTGAAAACCGGCGAAATTTGTGTAGGTAGGAGGGGAAAATTTCGGGATTTCCATTAGGAGGGTATATCGGGGCTTTCCAGGGTCCTTATGTATTGGTATGTAAGAGAGCACCGAGCGATACATAAGTTAGGCTGACTCCGGGAGTGAAGCAAAAAGAAGTCTGTATGTATACATGCAAGCGGGGTGCATTTGTTTTGAGAGAGAGAGAGAGTTTGAGCGGTGATTCAAGATTTGAGTGCGATATATTCCTCGATAAGATTGCTGGGTTGATGAGTGCCAAGGGACAGTGAATGAGAAAGGTTTTGAATGGGATTGATTGATTGATTGATTGATTGATTGATTGATGAACTTGCTTATGGATCAGGTTTTGTTGAAATGATCTCACTTCATACGTAAAGGGTTGGAATGTGACATGATCTGATGATGATGATGATGAGGAGTAAAGGGATTCAATGAGTTCGGATCCAAAAAGACCATTGTGAGATGGATGATGATTGAACTGAGTTGGTTAGGAAATTGATTTTTTTTTTGGTATCAAGAACTTGTAATACAGACGTTTTACTGACTTGGATCAAACAATTAGCTGTGAATCTGATGGAGTGTGAAGGGTTTATGTAAGTGTCTTTTTTAAAGACTTTTTTAGGGTGAGATGACTGCTGAGTGCTCGATGTGAGGGTTGAGAATGAGATTACAAGTTTGATCGACTTGCTTACAACACAAAACACAGGACATTAAATCATGAAGCTTAAGTTGTTAAGGATTCTATGGAATTTGATATTTTAATAAAGTTTTATATATCTCTAGTTCTACAATACATAGGCTGTGAATGTTGACCAAAATAAGATAAGATAGATACTCGATTCACAATTTCCTGTTCTTCCCGATTCATTTCTTCATTTCCACACAATCCTACAGAACAGACCACTCTAGATTCACACTTGAAGGAAATCCAGAAAGATTTTTACAAGAAAAAGACGATTGGAATTAAAAGATTTGGGTAAAGTAAGTTATCGGTTTTGATGATGAAGTGTCTTTCTAAAAGAACCCCGAATTGAGATGAAGTTTAATTTAAAAAGAATACTAGTTCTGTTTCCTTAACGATTTGCTTTTTTTTTTCTTTCTTTTTTAGCCATTTGATTTTGAATTCGATTTTTTGATTTTTTGATTTTGATTTGAATTGATTTGGACTGTAAAGGTTTTTTCATTTTGAAGTCAAGAGGTTAGTCCAACTTACTATCTAGTACTGACTTTAAAAAGCATCAAGATGGTTAATTGACTTTACTTTACCAATTCCCAATCACTTCTTAATAATTCAATCTAATCTAATTCTACTTTATCATCACTCACTCACTAACACTTCAACCAATCAACACTAATCTCATCAAGACTCAATCAAAACTACTACACTCAAGCAACTTAAACGTTATCTTCAATCATGTATCAACATCAAATCAACGATCCAGATTCAATGGATTATTTAATTTCAGAATTACTTCCATTCCGACATCAAACTCATGATCTCATTCCATCATCATCATCATCCATCAACACATCAGATTCAGATTCAGATACGACCTTAGCTTTACTATTACCTTTATTAGTCTTACTTTTCACTTTGCTTTTCTTACTTTTATTATTTTTGATTTTTTTGATTCTGATTCGAAAACGAAGATCGTTTCGTCGTCTTACCGGTCATGGTCCACTAAGATTAAGCGATTCAGATGGTCCTTTGGATTTATCTCAATCTGATCAGTATGAACATTCAGAAGCTTTAGAACGTCGTTGGTTAGAACAATGTTCTGAAGGCGTTCGATTAGGTTATCTAAGAGCTAAACGTCAGTCTTCATCTTTCTCTACATCATCAATTCGATTCCTGGAATCTGACCTTCTTTATTCGGTATTCTTTTCCATAACAGTTTACCAAACTCAATATCGACCTAATTCATTCCCAACCGATATCACTTTATCACAATTCTTATCAATCCAAGAAAAAGGTGTATCAGCATGGGCCTTTGAACCGGATTACGAATCAAATCCATCCTTACCATTAATCGTTCAATCTCGTACTGAAATCACTTTCTTGGCTGATGGTGTTGGCTTATCACCTTCCGAAGGTGGTGGGGTTTGTGTACAGTCTAATTTACCTTTACCTAAACTTAATGAAGTTTATTATTTTGAATGTAAGATTTATGAAAAGTTGGAGTCCACTGAGATCTCCATTGGATTGGCTACTAAACCTTATCCTACTTTTCGATTACCTGGTTCGTCTTTTTTTTTCTGTTCTCTTTGTTTTCTTTCTTATGCTGATTCATCTTTTTTAATTATATCCAAATTCATTCGTTTCGTTTCTGAAAACCCACTTGATTTCTATTCTTCACAACATTAATCAATCCGATCCATCGCATTTCTCTATCTACAAACATACCCGCTCAATGTTCCATCATTTTTTAATCAAATGTTCACTTTCAAACAATAGGTTGGAATAGACTGTCTATAGGTTACTTTGCAAGCGACGGATTCAAAGCACACAATTATCCATTCACCGCCACATCTTATGGTCCGCCTCTGAAACAAGGTGACGTCTTAGGGGTTGGATATCGACCTCGAACAGGAGCCGTGTTCTTTACACGAAACGGAAAGAAACTAGAAGATGCCTTTGTGGGTCTTCAACGATTCAATGTGTTTCCCACCATTGGAGCTACTGGACCTGCTTCGGTACATGTGAATTTGGGACAAGCTGGATTTGTGTTTATTGAAGCGAATGTGAAGAAATGGGGATTAGCACCGATGGCTGGAACCTTGGCACCTCCACCTGCCTATGGTCATCAAACTGGTAGTATCTTACTTTCCAGTGGGAATGAACAACATGAGAGAAGACAAAGAGGATTGGCAGAAGAAGAAGAGGAAGAGGAAGGTGGTTCTTCGGTTGGGACTATTAGACCGATCTTGGTAGGAGATTATGAACAATTACCTCATAATCCAGTGGGTCTTCATTACCTAAATCTTTTTTTTGAGAAGATTTTCATTCACTGACGTCTTGTGTATTGGTTTTCTGTAGCCTACACCTAGACCTTTGGATATCTCATTAAGACAGATCAGATCAGATCGATCATCAACCCCGAGTCAGGCAGCTAGCCCACCTAATTACGCACCTATTGATCCTTATAAATGTAAGTTTCTTGACTTGGTTTGGTCGATCTAATTTTGATGATTGATCGATTTAATCAATCTTGTGATTTTCTTTCCTTTTGAATAGATGCAGCAGGAGTAGCAGAAGTGATGTTGGCTGAACAGTTTGGTGGATCAGCTGATTGGAGAAATGCAGGAGCTCATGGATCTTCTTCTTCGACTAATCGATGAAAGATCATTAAGAAATCGAATCCTACTTTCTCTTGCTTTTGTTTTCATATAGATTGGGTTGTAGGTAGGAGTAGGAGTAGGAAGGAAGAAGAAAAAGGAAGAGGGAGAAGGGCAGAAGAAAATGTGATGAGAGATTTCAAGAGAGATTAGAAGAAGAAAGATGTATAATTTTTTTTTTTTATATCACTTTTGCTTTTTGTGTATTGTCTATGAACTTTTTTTTTTTTTGTAGTAATAGAGAAAGAAAACCAAAAAACATACACACATCTTTTTTTTTTCTTTTTGAAGAATGTTTTTTTTTCTTTATGCCATACTCTTATATATCATTTCATTTATGTACATTTGTATATATGTGTGCGTGTGCGTGCGTGCGTGTGTGTGTGTGTGTGTATAAATTTTTTTTCTATTCAATTTTTTTGTTTTCTTTGACTCGTTTCTTACTCTTTTCTTCTCTTTTTATTCTTTCTTTCTTTCTTTCATTGTTTTGAATCTGAGAAGGTAGATCATGAAGAAAAGTTTGGATGGGTTTTTTGAACTTGAAAATCTATCTCTAATTTTGATTTCATACCTTTTTCTTCTAAGAAACAAGTTTTTTTTTCTGCTTGTTTGTTTGTATTTTATAACTTTTTTTTTTTTTCTTTTTTTGCTTTTTTTTTTGCAACTTGACTTATTTTTTTTACTATAAGCAAATTGAAAAAATACTTTTGGGATTCCCATGATTAACTATGAACTTGGATAGGTGATGAAAGTTGGTCTTTGGATGAGCACCAATACCTGAAGCGTCCCGCCGCAAAAAGCGGGAGGGGAGCGGGTCGCCCCGCCTGCGCTTCAGGATTCCCGGTGTAGCGGATATATGCGCCCCGCCCGCGCTACCCTCGAATCCTTTTTGATGTAGAGGAGCGCGGATTTAGTGGCGCGGTCGGAAATATTGCACCGCTGCAAGGTTTATATCTTGTACGCAGCGGGTCAGTATTAACTGTGACAAAGGAAACAACATCACCCTAGATCACCCCATTCCTTTCAGATATCGTCCAATATCATATCTATCTGACATCTGAAAGGAAGCCCTTTCCTTGGATGACACCACCAATTATTCCTTCACCTCAAAAACAAGTGAGTTCAATCTCTTTTTATTTTTTGATGTCATTGATTTTTTGTCTTCTGCCTCAGCTGACACAAGAACACTCTCACCTCTTTCTCATATCATCATTATTATCTTAGATCTCTCAAATCTTATAACCTGCGGTGTTCACATGGGGGTTGTTCAAAGGGGGGATGTTTGCATGGGGATTGTTTGTATGGGGGTTGGCCTGTTTGTTTTGGGGGTCATGGCTTACTCCATAGTGCCAGTAGAACATCCTGTTCTGGATTGTATTTATATCATATGTGTTCCTCAATTCCGGTCTTTCCTCCCAGCCAATTTTCATCCACTCAAAAGTTCTGCTAAGATATTAAATTGATATAATCTTTTTTATTAATTATAATACCTGTTAACCACCTCCCAAACCCTTCAACTTTTTTGTTTGACTATAGTCCAATATGTTATCTCCTACCTCTTGTCTCTTGCTCCATCTTCAGGAGTTGCTCCAGTTGGCAGTGGTCCCACACTTTGTCCTAGAACTCCCATTCAAACCAGACCCAATTTTGTCACCCAATCGCCTGATTTACGTGTAGCTTCTCTTCGCCCCTCCCCTAATCGTTCAACTGTTGATCCTGACCACAAGATAAGCGTGTACAAGATTAGTAGTGGTTATTCTGATACCACCAATGGCATTGGAAATGATGAAGTTATTCACAAATCCAACAATGGCAACTTGACTGTTCCTACCAAGACCAAGAAGAAGGCCTGTAAGCCAGCCAAGGTCCATGTTGTCAAGAGCCGAGGCCGTCCCTGTGGATCTGGTGCTTCAGTTGGCTTTACTCGCTGAGCTTCCAAGAAATCAAGGAAAGGACGAGTTGAGGTAACTTCAATACTCTCTTCATCCCATATCATTACCATTACTAACCTTCTCTTCTTCTCTTTTGATCAATGTAGGCAACTGTTCCTGAAGTCATGGAGGTCGACCAGGAGTCTGAACATCAAGATTGCTGAGACTCTGGGTGTGCGACGTGGCCAGCTGGAACATGTCCGGAAATTATTGGAATTTTTCCATCCCCCGACTCATGCTCAAGGTGAGGTAAGCAGATTTCACTCTTTCATATCATTATCTTCATTTGTTTCAACATTTATCTGATTTTGATTTTATTTCATCTTGTTCTTATAAGTCTGGAAACAACCCGCAAAGTTACAAGTGTCGCTGGTGTAGAGGGCGGTTTGTATGTGGTGCACGTCGTCACTACAACCTTTACGCTCACCGCGGTGGAGCTAAAGGTTGCGCTGCCTGTCCCCACCGTTCTTGTGCCATTCAGGCTGGTGTCCAATTGCCTAACACTTGGGCCCAAGATCAAGCTGAGATTGCTCAAGCCTCAAACAAAGCCAACGGACAACAAACCCTTGATGCTTTCCTTTCTCAAGCCACCTTTAGTGTTGACCTCTGCAACACCGTCCTTGTTATCTGGATCTTATGGCATGCACTTCCCTTTAATCGATTTTATGATGCTCCCCTGCGTGCTGCATTCAAGCTGGCTAATAGGCAAGCAGACTTGAGGACCCCAACTTGGGCCGCTGGGATTGCTAAGGAGCTCTATTTCAACTTGAGTTCTTCTGTGATCGATTTGGTATTGGGAAGTCTTTCATCCTTCTTCTACTTTGTTCTTATATGTCATTGATGACGATTTTCGAAATGTTTTCATGTAGAACAATCTTGGAAAGTTCTCCCTTGTCCATGACGTTTGGACTACCAAGGGTAATAGATATGCTTTTATGGGAGTGTTGGCCAATTTCATCAACAACAACTGGAAGTATCGATTGGTTCACCTTACTCTCAAGCTAGTAGCCTGGAACAAGATGGGCTTTTTACTGGCTTGACCAGTTGGCCAATTCCTGATTACTAACAAGCTTCACACAAAGATAAGTCCTTGTATTCTTTTTTCACATAATCGTTTTCATTTCTCATCTCATATATCAATACCAAAAACTAATTTGAACGTCTTTTTGTTACATGTTAGCTCAAACAACGGACTCAGGGTCCAACAATAACACAATGGCTGTAGAGATGCAAGAGATGTTTGCGGAGTTGAATGAGAAGGTCGAATGGGATTCAACCAAAAACCACGTCCGATGCTATGCTCATAAGCTCGGACTGGTTGTCAAACATGGCTTGAACTCGATCGGATTGGCTGCCGGTCATATCAAACCCACTACTCCACCTAACACTCAAATTCCAATTCCTCCTATCATTCTCAACGATGATATGACTGAAGTAGTATGTGAGACTGACGATTCAGATGACGGGATCTATGCTCCGGTTTCATCAAATCCTTGTGACGACTCTACTTCTGATCTCAAAGATGGACACATTTACGATTATGTTCCATCTAGAACTTGTGTAGTAGTTCAGGGAGCTATCAAGGTTTGTCATTTCATCCTTTTTTGTTTTGTTCCCTTCCGTCATTTATCTTTTCAAGTATGCTGACGAGATCATTAACATACCCTCCAGTTCAAGTATATTAACGCACTGTTAACTCAAAGTAACGCTCACCGTGGTGAATTCACAGCTCGAGCTGCTCAGATGGGCTATGAAGGTCCTGCCCCTATTGCTGGATGGGGTGTGTGCTGGAACATCGACTTAGCAATGTTTTTGAACTTGGTTTTGGCTCGTGATGTGAGTGTTTTCATATATTTCTTTTATCTTGTATCTATTGTACTATTATTGACTTTTTGAATTTGTAGGTTATTGATTCAATTCTCATTGCTGATCAAAAGACGAGGTACTATCAAGGTGCGATGATGTCCATGGAGGAATGGGACGCTGTTGAAGAGTTGTGCAAGGTTTTGAAAGTCAGTTTAGTCTCTTTTCCAATCTCATTCCAAAAGGTGATTACTAACATACTTTTTTCATCTACTTATCCAGGTCTTTCACTTCTCCACCAAACAAATGGAGGGCAACTTTGAATCAGGTTTGGTCCTCTTGGCTGAGTACCTGCGTGTTACTGAAGTTCTTCAGCAGCTACACGACGCCTCCAACTTTCCAAGCTTAATCAACATGATCGACACCATGCTTATCAAACTTTCTATATATCAAGACGAAGCCGCCTCTTCAGATGTAATTGTACTGGCTACGGTTATGAACCCAAAGTATCAACTCAAGTTTTTTGATCTTCACTATCCTGAATACTCAGAGACGGCAAGAGAACTCATCAAAAGTCAATTCCAAGAATCATTGTCTGCTTGGCCAGTCACTCCTCCTTCAACCCCTCCTCCCTTTCAAGCCTCGAGTGATACCTTTGATCACTTCGACATTTTCACCTCGGCTGCGACATCCCAATCATCTGACTCAATCAGATCATCCGAGCTGGAAATTTATTTACAAGGCACCGTTCCAATCACTCCTGGCCAATCAGAACTCACTTGGTGGAAGGTAAATTTTTCTTATCATCTTTTTCAATGAATTTAAATTGATCCAATACTTGTTTTTTTAGGACAATGAAGAATGATTCCCTGTTCTGGCCACCATTGCCCGGGATTATCTCTTCGTTTCTGCTACCTCCTGTAGTGTTGAGCGTACATTTTCTTCTGCAGCTGACATTGCTGTACCTGCGCGTGGTGGTTTGAAACCAAAAACTATTTCACGGGCTGTTGGATGCAGACAATGGCTTCAATCAAACATTCCTGTTTTTGGCCAATTTGCCAATGCCATTGCTTATGTTACCTCCTTTGCAGCCAACATGAAAAAGAAGAAGAAAGACTAAGAGATTCAGTCTCAAGTATCACTCTCACTTTTCTATTGGTTGTTCTTGATTGGTTGTTTTTCTTTACTATTTCTATCTCTCCTTTTTGAGTTTTTTTATACTTTCCTGGTCTCTCTTATTCTTCTTTCTTTGGTTTTTGTTTTTGTTTTTGGTGGTTCTTGTCTCTTTGGTTATGTTTATGTGTCCGTATTGTCACTTGTTTAACCAATTTTTCACTTTTCTTCTTGTTCCGGCAAAACACATGTTTGTGTATCTTTGTTTTCTGCTCTTATATCACTCTTTGTGTGTGTATTCTTTCAAACGTATATATTAATAAAAAAAATAAAAAAACTTGTGAATAGTACATCCTGCCCGCTGCGAGAGCCAAAATTATCCTGCAGCGGGGCGCAAGCGGGTCCCAAACCCACCCCGCCCCTTTCCTCATGTAGCAAGTCTATGTTTAAAGCGGGGCAAGAGCGTGTGTGCCATGTAGTGGGTTTTCATACCGTTACAAAAAAAATTGGAATTAGCGGATCGCAGCGGTGCGGTTCAGGTATTGAATACTGGCACAATCATTTATATAGATTTTTTGGAGGTATGATGTCATTTTCATAGGTGTGGATATACATCTTGAAACCGAGGATACCAAGGATGCTATTTTAGTTGATGAGTTATGGTATCTTCATTTTTCATCCACAAGCTTGAGATTTATGATTATGATTGAGTTACAGCCTTTATGGGATATTTTCATGGTATGATGTTGTTGTCTAGTTTTATGAAAGGCTGGGCGCCTTCATGATCAAGATACAATACTAACAATTTTGAAAAGATCACCATGATTGATTTTTTGAGTTGTCACTTGTTGTACAATTCTTACATTAATTTAAGTTCAAGGACAAATAGATAATAATGTATTCAATTTATCAAAAGAGTGTACATAAAGGACATGAACTGAGCATGAGACTAAACATAAAATAAGAATCAAAAAAGTGTACAACATGAGAGGAGAGAATAAAACGGAGTGTTAAAGGACATGAAGTGAGCATGAGACTATACATAATCAAACAAGCGTAGAGACATGAAGACTAAGGATAAGTAGCAGAATCAAAAGAGTGTACAAAGGCGAGTGAGACAGAGAGAGACAGAAGAGGGAGGGACGACTAAGAATAAGAATCAAATGAGTGTACACAGGAGACAGAGAGACAAAAAATAAATAAAAATCAGACATAAGAATCAGACAAGTGGAAGTGGAAAAGTCGAGTTAAGACAAAGAATACGCAAAAGTCAAGTGAACTGAGAGAGACAAAGATTAAGAATCAGACAAGTGGGAAAAGTCGAGTGATAACATAAGAGAGACAAAGAATAAGAATATGACATAAATATGATAAATAACCAAAAATTGAGAACAAATATAACCATTTATTGCTGAGTCAAACTACTCGCATCCTTTGGCTGAGTCAACCCACTCATCTCCAAAAGTAGTCTGACATCTGCAACTGACTCCCCTTCAGCTAACCACCTATTCATCTGCTTGATGTGTTTGTCTTGCACTCTTTCCTCTTTTTTGTGAAGAAATCTTTCTTTGTCCCATGCCAGTTGCAAGCTGACTGCAAGTTCTTCTTGCTTTTGCTTCTTCTCTTCTTGTTCCTTGTTATGTTTGTCAAGGGCCATATCTCGCATCAATGTCTTGGTTTCATTTTCTACCATACGCGCTTCTAGCTCTAACTCCCGCTTATTCGTGGCCTTGTACATTTGTGCCTTGGACTGACTGATGGTTAAGAGTGCTTGTGCCAAAGGGTTTTTCAATTCTGATTTAGCTTTGCCGGGTGCTGCAATTGGCGGTAGAGGGTTTGCAGAATTGTGAACTGGCTTCAGCTTATCTTGATTATCTGTTATCTTTGCCTGACGCTTAGCAATGGGGCTTTTGTTGGGTTGATCTGGAGTTTCAGTTTGAGTGTTTTGTTGATTAGAAGTGGTGATTTTGACCAAAGGCAAAGGCGAGTTGGGATGGTGATCTTGTGAGGGCAGCCGCAAAGGTTTTTGGGAAGAAGTGCTAGTGCTGACAGATGATGGAGTACCCGGATTGGGATCTTGTTGTGAACGAAGAAAGTTGTTGGGAGAATTTGACAATGACGATTTGATAGGTATGTTGTCCCAACCACTTGGATTGTCGACAAAAAAACTTTCCAAATTTTCTACAGTTGACCAAAGTGGTTGAAACACTTCATCGAGATTGGGATTTAATCCTACAAAGTCTGAACTTAGATAAAGACTACAAGTCCAGTAGATTTCAGATATTTATTCAACTGACCTGGACTTTGGATTCCGCCCAATAACGATTCATCTTGATCATGTCTGTCAATTAGGTTGGCCAACGTGGAAGTGCGCCTCAGAGAACTTGAGAGAGGTTTGTCTATGAGGGAAAGATAAACAATTGTTACAAACAACAAATCATAGACGAGAGAGAGAATTCAACAACATCAATTGAATGAAACTCACGTTCTTTTGACTCAGAAATGAAACAAACAGAGTCTGAGTCGGAGTCCTGGTTGTCCGAGTCCAAATAATCAAAATCAGACGTTGTGATGATGCTACTGTCCATTGTGACCATTGCGGTGATATTTGCTTTTTCACCAAATAATGCATACATCTCATCGAAACAAGGACAATTGGTCTCTTGTTTGGCCAAAGTTGTAGCAATACCTTGAAGTCGGTCTTTGTCTGCAACACCAGAACCTGTGTGATTTGACTTGCCTTTAGCAATAGCGTACACACGGTGATATCTGACAAATCATTGTCAAAGATTGTTTCCGCTGAGCGCCATGATGCGCAAAGGGTTTTTGGTGTGTTGATTGTAAAGTGAATTGATGTGAGTGGCAAACACGTCCCAAGACCCATTGCCGCCCAATGACTGACCCTTGACCTCGGTTTTCTTGCCAGCACCAAATAAGATGTTGTAATTCTTACGGTTTGAAAGATATTTGATGATATTCAAATAATCCTGCTGTTAAAAACATGGACCATGCGTTGAATTGGACTGTGATTTGGCACGGGATGTCACCTTGGAATTGACTGATGGGCTGTGCAATACAATTGGGATTGGTTCTTCAGCTGGCTGATGTTGAGGGTTCAGATGATGACTACTGTGGATCAAGTGGCTGAAAGTTGTTGGAGCAGGTTGGCTGAAGGTAGTCGGATGAATTAAACTTGTTAGAGCCGGTCAGTTGAAGGTAGTTGGATGAGTGAAAGTTGTTGGACCAGGTTGGCTTTTGGCTGATAGGATGATCGTAAGAGGAAGGGGTACCGGCTGGAGATGGGTAATGTTGGCAAAAGGTGGGCATTGCATTGTGAGTACTATGGGAGTCAGAAATAGGAGGAGTACATGTATATCTGGTAAATATGTAGGGTGGATGGCTGGAGGTGTTTGGCTGAGTGTAGTTCTGATTGTTGTTGTAAGAGAAAGATGGAGCCTGAGGGTGTGACTGGGAGTTCAATTGAGATCTTTGCATAGTAGTGAGCGTGGCGTGTGGGTTTGGTGGATGAAGTTGGCTACGTAGTTGGAGGGGATGAGAGCATCCCCAGCCGCGTGCCGTAAACCGTGCTGTACGTAGATTTGGGGTATTTTTATCCACAGCTGCTACCCCCAAACACATACTTAGCTTGGGCAATTCTCTACGTGCAAGTCGAGATAGGCCAAATATGGTCTTTTTTAAACTCATCAGAGTCCCACGCTGTTGCTCGCGACCGAGCCCCAGCAAGGACTCAGGACAACGAAGGCTCTCCTGGCCTGTGAGGGTCAAGCCTTTTTGGTGGAGGCCCTCGCAGTCCTTATAAAACTTTTTCACCCGATTGTGAAATTTCTTGGTCCAAAGAAAGTTTTTATGCGCCTCTCTTCGACGCACAAATCTATCAAAAAAAATACCGAGGAAGTCCAGCCCCTCCCTTAGATTTTTGCTCCAAAAGTTGGTGAATTTTGAGTGATCTGTGTCATTCTCGTCGCAATAACATGTGTGTAAATTAGTGTTACATACAAATACAGGGACACAGGGGTCAGAAATGTCCAACTTCTAGAGCCAAAATGGAAGGGAGGGGACCGACTCAGGGATGCAGGTGTGAGTATGAGTGTACCCATCTCACACCCACTTTCCATTGTTTTCGCCCCGTGGCTGAGTACCTGATTCCTCAATTTTTGTTTACTGAGTTGTACAGCCCAGATGTGTAACTCACATCTGGGAATGTATGAGTATGTAATACTCAAGTGCGCCCCCTCCTCTGCGCCCAATACTCACACTAAACCAGAACAAGCACGCACCTTGTTTGGATGAGTACCTCATCCAAACAAGGTGGACTAGGATATCCAATATGATATCCTAATGGGATTCAAATGAACCCTTTCTCCAAACAACTTCGCCTTTTTGGACAAGCCCACCTCTCTTCGATATCACCTCGACCAACTTCTGGAAGGCTTAACAGGTGGCAATTTGGGTCGTGAATGACCATCCACAACGGTGTGGCTTCAAGTTTCAATATCTCAAACGATCTACCCTCTCTTTGGCCCCACCTATGGCTCAGCACGATGGCCACCTCGAGCTCTGGCTACCGGCGCTGACGTGGGTCAATTCCGATGCAATGAAAAATCTCGGAGCCCTCGAGTGGACATTGGACTTCAGGTGAGCTCAAATATCCTCCTACCTTGTCGCTATTCCTCCAATTATTTCATTACGATCGATTATTGATTCTTGCTCTGAAATTTCCCTTTGTTCCGTGCTTCTCATCAATTTCCAGACCAACGGATTACCTCTTTAGAACTATGCCTCGTTTCCCTACCCTACCTCCTGCGACCCCCAAGGTCTCACCCTATGCTCGTCGACCTAATCACCAAGCTGCCTCTACTAGCACGACAACCTCTCCCCGTTTGACTTCGACTCCGCGTTCAACCTCATCGTTGCGTACGGCCTCATCCTCTACTCAAATCGGCGGCAGCTCTGGCACCAACCTGGTGTCCTCCCGCCCTAGTAGTTTTGTCATTTGAGACGAAGAGGAGCTGGAATTGGACTCGGTCCCGACCATCAGGCACCGTTCGGATGTCTATCTTTATTTTGACGTGAGTGTTTCTGTTTTTGGTCTCTTTCCTTGTATGATTATCACGCTGATGGACTTTCTCACCCAGGAACCAAGGGTACACCAGGATAACGCCAAAGGGGAAATCTTGAAGGTGTACCCCTGCCTACATTGCCCGTAAGTGACCTCCTCAACAACGTCGAGTTCTATTACTTACCAGTAATCTCTCACACTCAGTGCTGAGTGCTCAATCACAGGGCGTCCGAACTCAAACCTCCACAAGCATCGTCGAGTTTGCCCTGGCCTCCCTGCCGCTTGGTTCCGTCGTGCTCCCGGAAGCATCCCCCCGGATGAAGACCCTGCGATTGCCGCCGCTCGCAAGAAACAGCTCCACATGTTGCTCATTGGAGCAGTTATCAGCAAAAACCTGCCATTCTCGATCTTCGAGGGCGATTTAATGCAGGCAGCTCTCTGTGCCATCAGCCCGTCATTCTATTGGCCCGGTCGTTTGGGTATCAAGGCCGATGCCGAAGGATTGTTCCTTGATTTGGAGCGACAGTTGATTGATGAGATTGCAAATGTTCCTGGATCCGTATCAACTGCTACCGACTGCTGGACGAGCCCGGACTATTCTCACACCTACATGGCAATCAATGGATTTTTCTTCAATGCAGACGGAAAGTTCTGCCGAAGACTTGTAGCTTTTAAGGTCAGCTAGTGATTTAACCTTAAACATTAGTGATATCAGTGTACTGATCATTTCACTCTCTTTGCTTTCTCGATCCTTGCTTCGTTTGTTTTGTATGGCGCCTCCTCCTATGATTCATTCTTGATCATCGCTTCGTTCATTTTGGGTTGTGCCTCCTATGATTCATAGGTAAGTTTTTGTTATCTTCAGCTAGGCATTCATCAAACACTAATGAAGACTGGTATGTAATCAGAAACTGGAGGGCAAACATACCGCGGAGAATCTCACCAAGGTGTATTTGGAGTCTCTTGACCACATAGGTATTCGCAATAATCACTTCTCCCTTACTGCCGACAATGCTTCTTCGAACAGAGCTATGGCCCGGCTCTTATCTGAACGATACGCTCGAAAAGGGATTCACTGGCCGGCCAAATCAAGATTCCATGGATGTCTATGCCATGTAATCAATCTAGTTGCAAGAGACTTCCTTGAAGGGATGGGCGAACTTACTGAGGCCGACCTTGAGGCTTATGAATCGTCAGGACTCGCTGAAACGCAATGGTCTTTCGAACCCGAAGAGCTGCCCTGGAATGATAAGGAACCCACCGAAGGCTCTTCCACTCAAGCTGAATCTCAAGTGGATCAAGACACTCAGGAAGAAGAACCAGATTTTACTCAAGTCGACTTTGATCAGTTATTCAACATTGATGGAACTCAAGGTACTCAAGAGCCTCAAGCGACTCAAGAATCACCAACAGCCAATGTATCTGCACGCCAGAAGAAATCCACTGTGGTCAGCCGATTCCGAGCGTTGGACACGCACATTCGAAAGAGCCCACAAGAGTTGGAGGCCTTTGTCAATATCCAAAACAGTGTCGGCGATCCCATCCTCCTTCCTCTGAACTGTCCCACTACTTGCTGGAACTACTTTTACTATGTTGTAAGTCTCAAAGTTTTCTCACTGCATTACCTATCCTCCTTCCCATTTTTCATCTTTCCCTTCACTAAGTGTAATCTATTGGTTCCTACAGGTCAAGCGATCCCTCAAGTTGAGGAAATCCCTTGAAATGTATACCGCGGAGCCTCAGCGCGCCAAACTGGCAATTTTCAAGGCCGATTGGGCAACAATCGAGTATATGAAGCCGATCCTCGAAATGTTTGAGTCAGCTACCCAAATCTTTCAAGCAAATGAACCAACCAAACAAAGTGTTTTACCGGTCCTCTGGGCCCTTCAAAAGGTCCTCCAGAAGAATGGAGCGGTCCCAGGGGCCTGGGGTCGAGCTGCTCAACGTGCCGAAGAAAAGTTGGTTAAGTACCTCTCTTGTGAAGACAGTAATCATCAATCCCTAGTTTCAGCACTCCTCGAGCCGGAATATCGAGATTTACCTTTTCGCCGGGATCCGGCTTGGATCCCAGTTGAAGTCAATGCAAAACGATGTCTTCGCGATGAGTATGACCTCAGGAAACCTGAACCAACCAATCCTAGCTCAGCTGACCCAGCCCCTACCGATGCGGGAAAAAAAAAGCAAAAGCCTGCCGTCAAGACCCTCAAGGACATTTATTCCATCTTGGGCACCTCATCAATGATTCCGACCAGCAACTCGTTTGAAGATATGGACGAGATTGATAGGTACTTTAATGGGCATCATCCTGCTCTGCCCAATGAGACGATTGGGCAGTTTTGGAAGGTGAGTATAAGGCTTAGTCACACTTTGTTCAATACGATACAATACTGACAAACTCATCCTTTTCAGCGCATGGGTCAGACAGGTGCCCTACCGATTTTATCTGAGATTGCCCTTGAGCATCTCACCATAGCAGCTGCTGCCGCATCAGTTGAGCGGGTGTTTTCCATATCTGGTAACATCGCAGTCCCATCAAGAGGTCGTCTCAACACGGAGGTCATTTGCCACTTGGTGTTAGTTAGGCACTGGCTTATGAACTATCAAGCTACCATTGATATAGGTCCAAGCAATTAGGGAACTTGAATTTTTTGCTACTGTTTTGTTACTTGAATGTCACGCTCACACCCGGTGCTTTTTTCAGGGCCCAGGGCCATGGCGGAGGCCATGGCCTGCACCCGGTATGGCATGCCCTGCTCTAGCCCTTGATAGACAGAGCCTCCACGTGGCGCCGTGGTAAGGGCCCTGCTCAGCCGGGGCTATACCATGGCGCCACGTGGAGGCTGGGTTGGATGAAACTCCACACACTGCAACACGTGAAGTTTGAAACACACTGGAGCCTGAAACATACTTCATTTTCATTATGTCACAATTATCTAGAAGCTCTGATCTCCAACTTTCAAGGAGAAACAACCTCAGTTCTCCT